GAGGCGGAGGAGGAAGGAGGAGGAGGAGGATGAGAAGAGGATGCGGATGAGGAGGAGGAGGGCGCGGGTCGAGACGGTCGAGGGTGAGTGCGAGAAGGATGAGAGACGAGGCGGAGACGAGGATGCGGAGGAGGAGTTGGGCGCGGGTCGAGGAGAAGGGCGAGAAGGAGGAGACACGAGGAGGAGGAGGAGGAGGAGGAGGAGGAGGCGGAGGAGGAGGAGGAGGAGGAGGAAGGCGGAGGCGGGGAGTGAGGCGTGAGGAGGAGGAGGGCGCGGGTCGAGGAGGGAGGGAGAGTCGGAGGAGATATGAGGAGGCGAAGGGGGAGGCGGAGGAGGTGGAGGAGGAAAGGAAGGGCGCGGGTCGTAGGAGGAGGGCGAGAAGGAGGAGAGGTCGAGGAGGCAGGGTGGAGGGGATGAGGAGGAGGAGAGGAAGGAATATGAGGAGGAGGAGTATGAGGAGGAGGCAGGAGGAGGAGGAGGAGTGAGGAGGCGGTGGAGGGGGTGAGGAGGAGAGGCGGCGTGAGGGGGGGTTGGGGCGCGGTTCGTGGAGGAGGAGAGCGAGGAGGAGGAGGGACGAGGAGATAAGAGGAGGCGGAGGATGAGGGAGGGCCGTGTCGTGGAGGAGGGCGAGAATGAGGAGAGAGGTGGAGGTGAGGAGGAGGGAGGAGGAGGAGGAGGAGGCGGAGGAGGAGGAGGAGCAGGAGGAGGAGGAGGAGGAGGAGGAGGGAGAGGGAAAGAGGAGGCGGATGAGGAGGTGGAGGAGGAGGAGGAGGAGGAGGAGGAGGAGGAGGAGGAGGAGGAGGAGAGGAGGAGGAGGGGGAGGAGGAGGATAGGAGGGGGGGAGAAGGAGGAGGTAGGAGGAGGAGGAGGAGGAGCAGGAGGTGGTAGGAGGAGGAGGGAGGAAGAGGGGGGGGAGGAGGAAGGCGGAGGAGGAGGAGCAGGGCGTGGATTGAGGAGGAGGGTGAGAAGGAGGAGAGATCAAGAGGAGAAGATGAGGAGGAGGAAGATGGCGCGGGTCGAGGAGGAGGGCGAGAAGGAGGAGAGACGAGAAGGAGGAGCGACGAGGAGAACGAGGAGGAGGAAGAGGAGGATGCTGATGAGGAGGATGAGGATAAGAAGAAGAGGCGGAGGAGGAGGAGGGCGCGGGTCGAGACGGTCGAGGAGGAATGCGAGAAGGAGGGGAGACGAGGAGGAGAAGAGGAGGCGGAGGAGGAGGAGGGCGTGGGTCGGGGAGGAGGTTTTGAAGGATGAGAGACGAGGAGGAGGAGAGGAGGAAGCGGAGGAGGAGGAGAAGAGGAGGCGGAGGAGGATGGCGCGGGTCGAGGAGGATGGTGAGAAGGAAGAGCGATGAGGAGGAGAAGAGGTGGCGGAGGAGGAGGAGGGCGCGGGTCGAAAGGGTAGGGCGGAGCAAGGAGGGTGAAGGAGGAGCATGTGGAGGAGAAGGTATGAGGAGGAGAGTAGACGGAGGCGTGAGGAGGAGGAGCGCGCGGGGTCGAGGTGGAGGGCCGAGAAGGTAGGAGAGACGAGGAGGTATGGAAGGAGGAGGTGGAGGAGCTAGCAGGAGGAGGAGGAGAAGAAGAAGTGGAGGCCGGAGGAGGAGGAGGAGGAGAGGGCGCGGGTCGGAGGAGGAGGAGAGGAGTATGAGGAGTGCAGAGAAAGGAGGAGAAGCGAGGAGGAGAAGAGGAGGCGGAGGAGGAGGAGGACGGCGCGAGGTCGAGGAGGAGGGCGAGAAGGAGATGAGACGTGGAGGAGGAGGAATGAGGTATGAGGAGGAGGAGGAGGCAGGAGGAAGGAGGAGGAGAGGAAGAGGAATAAGGGAGGCGGAGGAGGAGGAGGGCGCGGGTCGAGGAGGAGGGCGAAAAGAGGAGACTCGAGGAGGAGGAGGAGGAGGAGGAGGAGGATGGAGGAGGAGGAGGTGGTGCAGGAGGAGGAGAGGTGGAGGAGGAGGAGGAGGAGGAGGAGGAGGAGGAGGAGGAGGATGGAGGAGGGAGGCGGAGGAAGAGGAGGAGGAGGATAAGGATGATGATGACGCTGCTGCTGATGTTGCTGCTGCTGATGATGATGACGAGGAGGAGGAGGAGGAGGAGAAGGAGGAGAAGGAGGACCAGTGTAAACCCAACGTGCGTTATCGATGTTGCAATACATCCTTCTTCCAAGATCCCTCTGCGCTGGTTCCTACAATGTGGTTTTCCCTGTTGGGAGTGTCCCATTGGAAGACACTCGTCTGCGATTTCACCATGGTACCAAAACGCAACTTGTTTGACTCCAGCGCTGGGATTCAACTTGACTGACGATCCTGAAACGTGCCGGAAAACCATTCCCGGGACTTCATCATCGCGAATCAACATGCGTGTTCTGCCCTCACATTCTTTAACCGTGACGGAACATTTTCCGGGGACGTCAGCCATCAGGACCCGTTAGACGGTTGTTATTTTCAGGGGCCAGTTTGCGCGACGCTGAGGCGAGCGCCACATGTTGAAATGGAGCCTTCCTCCATCGGTGAAAGTCTGGCAAACTCTCAGAGGAATGTGTGCGCCGCTGCGGCCAGAGCCACATCTTGAATGCCAGAGGAATGTGTGCGCCGCTGAGGCGAGAGCCACATTTTGAATGTCATCCGCCCTTGGCACGTCAGATGTTGGCACCTTTTCGGGACGCATGCGCACGGCGCCAGGGAGAGAGCCAGCTTTTGAAGAGGAGCCGCCCTCCATCCGTGAAGCTCTTGCAAGCTTTGAACACGAACGTGCGCGGCGCCAAGGCGAGAGCCACACGTTGAAAACCACCCGCTCTCCATCCGTAAAGCTCTGGCGAGCGGATCAGACGAACGTGCGCGGCGCCAGGGCGAGAGAGCCTCGTAGTGAACACCACCCGCCCTCCATCGATGAAGCTCCTGCGGACGTTTGAGACGACTGTGCGCGGCGCCAGGGCGCGAGCCACTTTTTGAAAAGGAGCCGCCCTCCATCCGTGAAACTCCTGCAATCTTCAAAGACGAAGGTCGGCGGCGAGGAGGGGAGAGCCACACTTTAAAGAGACGCCGGCACTCAATCCGTGAAGCGCTTTCACACGTTCAGGCCTCATGCGATCACACAGCGAGGAAATCTTAGGCGGCACGCCCAGCCCGCCCTGCCGACACGTCTCGGGGTGCGAATGGGAGGAGATCTTCATAAGAGGAAAAGGGATGCAAGAGGAGGATGAGGACGAGGAGGTGGAGGGGCGAGGTGGAGGGCGAGGACGAGGAGGGAGAGGGGGGAAGTGGGGTCATCCCCCCTTCCTGTCTCCCTCGTCTCTCTCCTCAGTCCGTCCCCCAAATCTCTCCTTTCTCCCCTCTCCTCGAGTCCAGCGTCGATCCAAGACGTCCTCGCGGGCCTCGAAAATTTACGTTTGGGTTTTTTGGGGCCTGAGGAAGAGGAGAGAAGATCCAAGGCGATGCCGAGTGAAGTGAGGCCTGGACGGGCGCGGGCACAGAGGGAGCACGCCGAACATGCTGACAGAGGAGTTGATGGCCGAGCTCAGCCCAGGACCAGCATGAGGATATCAAGTAGGGGGGAGGAGGGAGGAATGACGTGGAGAAGCGGCCAGAGGAGAAAGAACAGCGGCAGCGGGATCATGAGGCGAGCACAACGAGGTCACACGAGGGGGTCTGGAGGAAGGGGGCGGCTCTCGAACGGCCTGGGACGTACGCGTGAGCCTTTCGCAGAAGGTTCTCCAGCAGTACATAGACTTCGAGAAGCAGGGGCAGTACCCGGCGTGCGTCAAACTCTTGGAATCTGCCACCCCAGGAACGCCAGAGCGGTGGGTGAGGCAACGGGGAGGAATGAAGGCATTAGGGTAGACCTGGGGCGCACCGTTGATGTCACATTCGCACCCGTGCCGAGTCGATTCCTGACATGCTTTCACTCGGGCAAGCGGCCGCTGTGAACGCGACGGTCCTGCAGGCGTGCGCGGTACGAGCTCATCTGTGTCGGAGCATGTGCGCCAGCGGGGGCAGATCACAGCTCCAGCGCGTAGTGCCGCACAAGATGCGCTCGGGGGGGGATCGCCCGCCACCTGCGCGATTGGCAGACCGTCTGAGAAGGAAGGCAAGCGCGGCGTCGGAGCGAGATCGCGGCTCGAAGGTAGCCATCCATCCTCGTCCTCGTCTGGCCCTTGCCGCGAAGAGGGGGGAGCGGGGGAGCACTGAGCCGCTGGAGACTCCAATCGCCCTGGCCTTAGCTGCGGCGACCGCTCCAGGCGAGAGTTCGGCCCTGGAAGAGGAGCAGCCCCACCCTTGAAGCTGGTAGGGATTCCAGGCTTCCTGGTCACAGCGTGTAAGGAAGTCGCACGCGAGAGCCGGATATTGACAAAGAGGAGCCGGGAGGAGAGAGGAGCAAGGGGGGGAGGGAGAAGGAAGGAGGAGATACTGCCGGAGAAGGGAAAGACAGTGGAACAGCAGGAAGTGAACAGTGGGAGGCCCTCCCCTCGAGGCACATGATATCGATACCCAGCGGTCAGGTCAGGCCTCCGGCAACGCCAGGCCGGGGGGGCGTCGCCAGGGCCAGCCCCCAGGGGCGTTTGCCGATAAGGGCTCCGGTCCAGTTTTCTCTGCTAGAGCCAACGGCCCTCCACCACAAAGAGACTTGCGTCGGAATTTGCCACGTAGATCTGACGGTGCGGATGGGGGGGTCCCCAGTACGAGTCTCAGCACGCGTGCGTTCGGCACGTGTTTTTTCCCTTTGTTTCTGGCCACGACGGGGCCCTCGGCGAGGGACCCAGCTTGGCCCGCCAGCTTGCGCGTGCAAATGCGTGCGCGGAGGGGGCGGGGCCCAACATGCACCAGACGCGTTGCGCGCGGGGCATGTGTTTTCATGTGTGTGTCCACGGCACCCAGCGACAGACCCAACTTGTGCCCGACGGATTCTGCACACTCAGGAATACGTGCGCGGAGTGGGAGGCCCAACGTGCACATGGCGCGTGCGCGCGGGGCATGCCTTTTCACGTCGCCACAGCCCCCATAGTAATGCGTGCGCGGAGGGGGCCCACCATGATCCTGGCGCGTGCGCGCGGGGCACGTATTTTCACATGTCTGCGGTCCCCAGCGGGGAACCCAACTTGAGCCCGCGGGATTTTCCACATGTGAAAATTCGTGCGCGGAGGAGCTGGCCCGACATGCGGAGCGGGGAGGGAGGGGGGGGACCAGAGGAGGGAGGGGGGGGAGGGAGGGGGGAATTCTTACGTGCCCACGGGCCCCGGAGGAGGGAGGACCCAATTTGGGCGCGGGGGGGACCCTACATGCGCCTGGCGCGTGCATGCGGGGCGTGTATTTTCACGTGCCCACGGCCCCCAGCTAGGGACCCAACTTGGGCCCGCCAGATTCTTCACATATGGCAATCTATGCGCGGAGGGGGGAGGCGACAAGCGCCTGGCGCGTGCGCGTGGGGCACGTACTTTCACGTGTCCTGGGCTCCCTTAATCGCGCCGGATTCTTCACACGTGAAGCTGCGTGCGCGGAGGGGGGGTCCCCACGGCCACACATGCGCCTGGCGCGGGCGCGTGGGGCACGTGCTTTCGCGCGTCCACGGCCCCCAGGAGGGGGGGGGCCCAACTTGGGCGCGTCGGCTTTCCTACGCGTGGCAACGCGTGCGCCCAGGGGGGGCGCCCAACTTGGGCCCGCCAGCTTCTTCACACGACAACATGCGTGCGCGGAGAAGGGGGGGCCCCACAGGCGCCTGGAGCGTGCGTGCGGGGCACGCATTTTGACATGTCCGCGGCTCCCAGGCTCAACTTGAGCGTCTGGCGCGTGCGCGGGGGCCACGTACTTTCACACGTCCACACCCGCCCAGAGGGGAGTCCAATTTGGGCCCGCCCGATTCTTTACGCGTGAAACTGCGTTGCGCGGAAGGGGGGGGCCCAGCATCCGCCTGGTGCGGACCCATTCTGGGCGCGCGGAAATCTTCACGCGTGCAAATACGTGTGCAAAGGAGGGGAACCCAACATGCTCTGGCTCGTGCGCGCGGGGCATTTGTTTTCCGTGTCTTCGGCCCCCATAGGGGAGATCCAAAGCGGTCGCATCGGATCATTTACGCTTGAAATAAAATACGTGCGCGGAGGGGGGACAATATGCGCCTGCCCCCCACCCCTCCGCGCACATAATTTCACGCGTGAAGAATCCAACGCGCCCAAGTTGGGCCCCCCCGTGGAGGCCGTGGAGACGTGAAAACAGATGGCCCGCCACACCGCGCCAGGCGCATGTGGGGTCCCCCCCCCCTCCGCGCACGTAGTTTCGCGTGGGACGAATCCGGCGAGCCCAGGCTGGGTCCCCCCCTCCTGGGGGGCGTGAACAACATGGGCCCGCGCGCACGCGCCAGGCGCATGCTGGGCTCCCCCCCCCAAGTGATGCCCCCTCTGCTGGGGCCGTGGACGCGTAAGATCACGTGCCCCGCGCGCACGCGCCAGGCGTACCTTCACGCGCCCACGGCCCCCGTGGAGAGACCCAACCCAGGCGCGCCAGGTTTCTTGCACGTGACAATGCGTGCGCGGAGGGGGGGAGGCAACATTCGCCTGGCGCCTGCGCGCGGGGCACGTCTTTTCACGTGTCCACCGCCACCAGGGGGGGACCCAATTTAGTCGAGTTGGAGTCTTCCCACGTGCACAGGCGCCGCCGTGCAGGAGAGAGATGAGGATGCGGGAGTCTGGAGGCAGGTGTATGATGATGATGAGAAGAAGGACGGAGGAAGAAGGCCGAAGGATGAGGACAAGGAGGGGAAGGAGGAGGAGGATGAGTAGGAGGAGGAGGATGAGTAGGAGGAGGAGGACGAGGAGAGGGATGGTGGTGAAGAAAAGGAGGAGGAGGAGGAGGAGGAAGAGGAGGAGGAGGATAAGCATGACGTGCAGGAGGTGTTGGTTGCAGCCAAGCAATGGGACAGTGTTGCTCGCGGATCAGAAGTAAGTTTGACTCAAGTTCATGGCTGGTTTCGTGGAACCGGCAACTTTCTCAGATCTCATTCGGCATGTGAGCCCTCAGATGCGTGGTTCTTCCTGGTCAGGGCTCCCGTCCAGGAGTCTCTTTTTGTTCCCGGTAAGGGCTGGCCCAGGTGTCTTTTGTAGCTTGCAGGCCAAAGGCCCTCCACCAGTAGAATGTCGAGCAGCAGGCGTCAGAAATGGACACGTTAAAACAACGTGTGCGGAGGGGGGGGTCTCCAACACGAGTCTCGGCACGCGTGCGTTCGGCACGGGTTTTTCCATGGTTCTGGCCACGTCAGGGCGACAGGCGAGGGACCCCACTTAGCCCGCTGGATTATTTAACACATGCAAGTACGAGTGCGGAGGGGGGGGGTCTTCAACATGAGTCTCGGCACGCGTGCGTTCGGCAGGTGTTTTGACATGTTTCTGGCCCCGACGGGGCCGCAGGCGAGGGACCCAACTTAGCCCGCAGGATTTCTCCCCCGTAAAACTGCGTGTGCGGAGGAAGGGGGGCCTCCAGGCCGCAGGCGAGGGACCTAACTTAGCCCGCCAGACTCTTCTCAC